GCCGATAAATGTGTGCCAATGAAAGCGTGCCATCAACAAACAACGTGAAAACAACGTAGTAACCCTAAACCTAACCCTTACCTTAACCCTAATCGCGCTTTTGTGGCGTGGTTTTGTCGGCGCTCTTTTGTGGGAGCGCTTTCGACCTCGCGGTTTTCTCGCCGCGGTTTTGTCGGCGCTCTTTTGTGGGAGCGCTTTCGACCTCGCGGTTTTCTCGCCGCGGTTTTGTCGGCGCGCTTTTGGCGGGACGCATTTGACGGGTCACGGTCTAAATGAGAACCATCTCAAAAACTCTCTCCTTGAAATGTTACCCCTCTTCTCATTGGTAGTGTGATGCCACTCACTTTGAGACCTTCAGTGCATCTGCAAATGTTAAGTTCTTGCCACCCAAATGTAGACCAAATACATGTCTTTGCTTGTGTGTTCCGGATGTACTGCAAAGAATGGTGGCCAGAGACTTCAATAACACAAAATTACCGAAGAGTTGAAGAAGAGAGCTCTTTGATGAGTCAGATTATTTCCAAAGTCTGGTTGGATATCCCAAGGCATACAGAAAGAGAATTAAGTCCAAAATATAAACAGGGAGGCGGAGCACAATTTTCAAAATAAAGCAGTAGAATTAGTAAGGAGTCAGCATGGGCAGGACCTATCTGTCTGATAAATAAAAGATAAAAACAGTAGAAACCATATAATCAGTTAATTCCCATTGCCATCAGGCTCAACTTAATTAGGAGCTAATGAGAAATTTAAATCCTCCCATTATATAGAACTGGCTCCTGCAATTAATGAAGACTTGAAATAGTTGGCTTTGGGAGCCAGATGGGAGATGTATCCTTCTGGAACTCTAGCTACAGAGCCCCCACAGTCTGGGTCCTCATTTCACCCACCTCGGAAGGATGGAAGGCTGAGTCAACCTTGAGCCGTTGAGATTAGAACCGCTGAACTGCAGGTAACAGTCAGCTGAAGTGGCCTGCAGTACTGCACCCTAAACACTGCGCCACCTCGGCTCTTTTTGGTGGTTGAGAGACAATGACTGGCCCAAAGTTAGCCAGGTGACTTTTGTGCCTGAGGGAGGACTAGAACTCACCGTCTGGTTCTGACTCAGGAGAAGCCACTACCCCACGCTGGCTAGTGAAAGGCTTATGGTTCAGATGAATACCATGACTTAATAGATTGCGTGCACAAGGAGTGATTCTGGCCAGTCTGCAGAAAAAATATATCAAAACAATAGACATGTCTAACACAGTGCAATAGATTTGATCAACAACAGAGCCTCCTCAAGATCTCACCAGTCCCCCCTGAGACCACCTAATGAGAAAGCCAGGTTATGAGGAATTTCCAGAAAATAAAGGGGGATGGATGTGATCTGACTTTTAAGGGGGTGGGGGATTTATAAGAAGAGGACCAAGGCAGACAAGGCCAATTTTCTTCGGCCCACTAAGTGTAGATCCCTGATAGGTGAGGGCCTGTAACATAGCCTTTCTTGTCAGATTTCATGGGATGAGCAGATGTAATCAGGAAGAGACAATCCTTCAAATAACCAGCTTCTATGCTGTGAAGGGCTTTTAAAGATCAAAACCAGCACTTTCATTTGGACTTAGAATAGCAATAGCAATAGCAGTTAGTCTTATATACCGCTTCATAGGGCTTTCAGCCCCCTCTAAGCGGTTTACAGAGTCAGNTTTTTTTACAGTTTTATTTATAGTTTTGTCTGGATGGTCATGTTTGCTTTTTAAATATTGCAAGCTACACAGCATTTTTTTAGAGCTGGGTGGCTTTACATTCCAGTACTGTGTATTATCCACCTATCAAGTTTTTCCCTAGTAACACTAATGAGCAGATGTTTGATGGTGTTAAAGGTCTTATCATGGGATGTTCCAAGCTGTTTCAGTAAAGCTGCCTTTTGCAACTGACGGATGGGAATTTTGTCAATGCTGAAGGTGTCCAAGCACTGCAACAGTAAGGTGGAATGTTTCATCATTCCACCTTACTGTTGCTATCTTTGCTTTCTTATAGTTCATTGCACAGTCAGCCAGATGTTTAATCTGGATTATTAGTAATTGTTTCCTCAACCACATAATTGCAGAAACAACATCCAGGGCCCTGGTGGAATTGTGTGCAGTTGTTCTGCTGCTTGAGCCATCTCCTAACTGACTGCAACCAGAGTCGGTGAGAGAGGGTGATTCAGGCAGAATGTCAGTGTGCCCCTAGAAACCATCACCTGCATTTTTTTACTCAGCTCTCTGGTGGAGACTACCCTCTGAAAGTTTATCATTCATGTTCCAATGCAGCCATCTGCAATATATGCTTGCCCATCAACCCATTCTCAGTATAGGTATGTGGCAACACCTATGTGCAGTTGTGAGCAACTCTAAATCAGCCTTTACATAAGAGTATTCATAAGGAGAACCATCTCTTTTCCAGGTGTTTCTCAGGCTTGACAGTTTTAAGCTGTGTGGACTTCAACTCCCAGGATTCACCAGCCAGCCTTGACAGCTGCCAAGGTTGAGAAACTGTATACATATTTCCATTTCTTTCAATTTCATTTGAGAAGACTAAGCACCTATCTTCCTCTGAACCCCTTCCAACCTGTCTGCACCCTCCTTGAAGTGAGAATTGGACCCAACAACTTTCCCTATGAAATCACATTCATGCGTAATAAAGTGGAACTATAACTTCTTAAAACGTGAACATTATGGTTCCAGTAATGCATGCTAAAATTGCAAAATTGCACTGCCTTTTTTCCGCCATTCATATCACTTTGCTGATTCCAGGCCCTGAAAAGGTTCATAATAGCTTTTTAAAACTTAGCTGATTTAAAGATAGTATCAGATGTTTAGTTCATGACTCATGTTCAGCTGCTGTCCCAAGCTAAGCATTTCCAATTGTAAACCTTGAATATTGAATTCTGACTTTTAAAAAGAAATATGCAACCATGCATTGATCTTGGCTAAATTTAAGGCTGAGTTTTCCATCCTACCACAGTCATTTTGATTTTGATATCCTTGCTGTCTTCTGGAATATTAGCTGAACTTGCTGGGTTTTTAATTAGCCAGGTCACCTTGTCCATGCAAGCATTCAGAGTGGAGCGGAGCTGAATACAGTCTGGTAGAAAGCGAAGGGCCCTTATTCTCCTTCCCGCCATTGATCCCAATGGGCAACACCTACAAACTGTACAGATAGTCCTCGACTTACAAATACAGTTGGAACCATAATTTCCATTGCTAAGCAAACAGTTGTTAAGCGAATCACACCTGATTCTACAACCTCTTTGTCATGGTTGTTAAGCAAATCACTGCAGTTGTTAAGTGAATCACTGGATTTCAATAAATCCAGCTCCCCCCATTGACTTTGCTTGTCCAAAGCCAGCTGGGAAGGTCATAAATGCGGATCACATGATCCCGAGATGCTTCAACTGTCATAAGTATGAGGGGGAGAAGCTGACATCGCGACAATACGACATGCGATCTTGGAGCTCCAAGTTCACAGTCGATATTTCTGCCGCTGGACGGTCCTTTTGAACCTAAACCATCCTGCAGAGATGGTGATAGAGAAGAGTACATCCTGCTGATCTCAGGGACACCGCAAAATCCCTGATTGATCCAGGAGAAGCTCTTTTTTCTGATGACAGAAACGCAGCCATTGAAGCTGCTGAAGTTGGGATAGCTCTGGAATGGAACGAAAGCGGAAAGAGAAAGTGTGTCGAATTGGTGNTTATTAAAACATGTACGAGATAACAGGTATAAGCATAGACATGGACATGAACGGGAAATGGGGATATGGGGATAGTAGGACAGGGACAGTAGGCACAATGGTGCGCTTATGCATGCCTCCTTTACGGACCTCTTAGGAATGGGGTGAGGTCAACGGTAGACAGTTTAAGGTTAAATGCTGGGCCAGTCAACCCTTTTAAAATGGATTGCAAAAACCAGTTGGATCCTTAAATATTATTATTATTGTGGAGGAATAGCCGGGTGGACCTTTGCAGCCCTTAGTGATCATTTTTTGTGTGATTTTTAAAATTTTTTTATTTTCATACAAGTAATCACAAGTATACCATTACATCTTAACCAACACTATTTTGTATTATCCAGTATTATATCAATTCCTCTTACAATCAACCCACAGCAACTATCATTTGCTCTTCTGCTTTCCATACACGATACTATATATTATATAGATGGTTATTCAACCTCCTCTCCCTCTCTCCTCCTCCCTACTTCCTTTCTTCCCTCTACCATCCTTCTCTACTTCCCATTTCTCTCTCCTTCTCCATCAGTGATCATTGTGCGGCGTTTACTTCAAGATATCTCATTCCCTCGTGTACAAAAATAGGTTGATTCAGCCTTTCATCCTTACGAGGTGGATAAAATGAAGACCTAGATTGTTGGGGGCAATAGGCTGATTGTAAACCGCTTAGGGCTGTAAAAGCACTGTGAAGCGGTATATAAGTGTAAGTGCTATTATTATTTTTTAAAAAAGGCCTTTTGCTATCAAATTAGATATTCCCAGGCAGGAAAAGACTCCGCTGGTCCCCGTCTTCCCCCAGCCCCGATTGACACCCCCCGTCTCCCCCGGCTGGTCCACCTTGGCTCCGAGGGCTGAGGCGGTGGTGGTGAGATAAGGGGCGCGGTTCTTCTGGAGCAGGTCGATGTAGACCTCCGCCCCTTCCCCGCCACCCCGCACTCGCAGCAGGCTCAGGAGCTCGTTCACGTCGTGATGAATCCGAAACTCGCTCATAATGAACGAGGAAGCGGCCTTCGGGGCTTCACCGGGGCAGCTGAGCCACAACAACCCTGCAAGGCAGGGCCATGCCGTTAGCAAGGCGCCAAAAAAGGCTCCACCTTTACTAGGCCCCACCCCTCCCGTCACCCAGCAACCGTCCTCCGCACGACCCGGAAGAAGAAGCGCGCGCGCGCTAAGTTTCAAGAAGGGGAGAGAAGCGGCGGCGGGAAAGAATGGCCAGCGGCGGTGGTGGGGAGGGAGGTCCTTTCCGTTTCCGCCCCGCCGTGATCCGTTACCCGGCGGACCATCCCTTCTTCGAGGTAGGGAGACTCCTTGCTCTGCCTCCCGAGCTGGGGGTCGGCCTGCCACCGAAGCGTGCCGCCGCCGCCGCCTTCGATGGTTGTAAATCAGGGGTCCCAAGCTTGGCAACTTTAAGACTTTTGGACTTCAACTCCCAGAATTCTCCAGCCGGCTATGCTGGCTGGAGAATTCTGGGAGTTGAAGTCCAAAAGTCTTAAAGTTGCCTAGTTTGAAGACCTCTGCTGTAAATCCTGTTCTCTTCCAGGATGGCGACGTCCACCGGCATATGTACCTCCAAGGTCTCCTGGAAAACGTCACGAAGGACACGGAAAGGCCCAGGTGAAGATTGGGAGAGGTATCTGTAGAAGTGCCAGTGTCCAAGCTGGGGGTGGGATCTGGGTCTTTGTCCCTCTCCCTGAATAAAGGCTTCTGTTTCCAAAGGCAGGATGTTTTAAATCTTTTTAAGAAGAGACTGATCAGCCATTTGTCTGGGATGTTGTAATGCAGGGGTGTCCAACCTTGGGAACTTTTGGGACTTGTGAACGTCAATTCCCAGAATTCCCCAGCCAGCACAGCTGTCATAAGTCTTGGAGTTTCAAGGTTGGACACCCCTGACTTAGTCTCCTGCTTGAGTACAGGGTTGGACTAGATGACTTCCGAAGTCTCTTCCAACTTTATGATTGTCCCAAAGGTGCTTTTTTTTGAAGAAGCAACTGGACTTGTTTTTCTTTGAAGGTGTTTCGCTTCTCATCCAAGAAGCTTCTTCAGCTCAGAGCCTCTTGGAAAAAAAAAGCACCTTTGGGACAACCATGACCTGGTTGACTGAGAATCTTCTTCAACAACTTTGTGATCCTTTAATCTTCCTTCCTCCCTCCCTCCCTCCCTCTTGCTCCTGCGTTATAAAATCTTCAGCAGAAACAAGCTCATCCATAAGGGAGAGTTACACTAAATGCCTACCACCTCCCATGACGATGGGGATGATTCTACTCTATTTACGTTGTTCCTTTAATAACAAAGCAACTCCCAAACAACTTTCAACCATTGTAAAGATTGTAAATAAAAATGCACTAAATAAATAAACATGGCTTAGGCCCAGGGTACCTGCGAGACCACCTACTGCCACCAGTAGCCTCTCACCATCCAGTGTGATCCCACAGAGTTGGCCTCCTCAGTGTCGACTAGCGACCCCCAGGGGGAGAGCCTTCTCGGTGGGAGCGCCTTCCCTCTGGAATGAGCTGCCCCCGGAGCTTCGTATAATCCCCGACCTCCGGTCCTTCCGACGCGCCCTAAAAGGTTGGCTTTTCCAGCAAGCAGGCCTGGCCTGAACAAAACAAAATAAATGATTGTTCATTGTTAATTTTAATTCGAATTTTCTTAAAAATGTCATTGTCAATTCTAATTGGGTTTGTTTTGGATATTCTATTTAATTTTTTAAAAAACTTTTGTATTATGTGTTTCTTTTAATGTTGTACG